GACCCATAAGGCAGGCGGGCGGCCGGGCGGGCGAGGCTTCTCCGGGGAGCTCCAGGCGGGGGGCCCGTTCGCGGAAGACCCCCGGCGCGGTGTCACCCTGAGCTGCCGCCGAAACACTCACCGGCGGAATATGTCGACTTTGGGGAGGCTGCCCGTTCCCGTAGCAACCAGAGCCAAACAGTCTTTTTTGCAGCGCTGACAACTCCTGCCGCACAAACGTGTTCTGGCTAAATCTGATTCGTTAAATATTTAACATATGGCAGAAAAGAGAGAAATATTGCTCTGTGTGAGACTGAACCGCACTTCTCTGCTTATTCGAGCCGGCTGGGGAAGATGCGTGCCCGGCCTTGAAGAGCCGGTGCTGCGAGCGAGCGAGCTTTACTCCACAAGCATTGACTGTAATGTTACAGGGGAAGTGTTTGGCAACCTCTCTGTTACTTTGCTAAGCCTGCATGGAGGGAGCGTTTCCCGGCTTTAGCAGCTGTAACGTGTTTCGACTCAGTTTGCATCTGTCCCTCTGGGCTCGGTCTCCCTTTGGAGGGTGGCCAGAGGCTGAGCCGGAGAGCCGCCTCCTCCTCCTCCTCCTCCTCCTCCTCCTCCTCCTCCTCCTCGCCTGTCAGAGCTTGCTCTGCTGATGACTCTGTTTCTCATGCAGCATAAATTAGGTTTATATTTAACATAAGTTATGTTGTACTTTATTAAAATGTGAAACACTATCATCGTGAAGAAGCTAATCCCAGGCCGCTCTGTTGGAACTTCTAAATCTAAACCACACGGTCTGGAGCTGATTCTGGAATAACCCAAAAAACAAAATCTGCATTTGAACAAAAGCATTTTCTACTTTGAATTTTTACATTAAACTATAATTGAAGCAGTCTGATATTTGGACAGATTAGTGTTGTTTTCAAAGCCAAGTATGTTTTCTTCACAAATGCCTGAAAAACATGCTTGCCATATAAAAGTTCTTATTTTATTCCCGCCATGAGTCATTCATTAATCATGTTGAATGTGTTATAAAAACTTTCATCAGTAACCCTTTCATTAATAGCAGGGAAGTCTTCCCTTTTAGATCAAGAGCCACATTGGGGAGGGAAAAATTACTGAATGGAGGAGCATTGAGGGTTTTTTAATTTGTTTTTTAAAAAAGCATTGCACAATTCAGGAGGCAGAGTTTGAAAAAAAGAAATACTTTGGCACTCCCAGCCATCTCCCCTCAAGTAGAGAGGGGTCCCCTCACCTGCCCCACCCCGTCCCCTCAGCACTTCCTCACTTTTCCAGGACACAGATGTTTTCTCTGCTGATGGAAAATTCAGCACCCCAATTTTTACAAGGGGGGATGAGGGTCCAGGTTGGGGGAAGTCTCATGGTTGCACAGACCAACTTCATTTAGTGGCCCAAAATGGCATTATAATTGAAAGCTTGATTCAGCTCCCTTAAAGAATCAGAAGTTCAGGAAAACAGGTAGCGTGCTTGTTAAGTGCTGCTTTGATCCAGCTCAAAAGGGGTCTAAAATCTCTCCCCAGATATAACACCCTATTAACCTGCTGAGATTTTCTCCTAGCAAGTGTGCAGCTGATTGGAAGCAACAGAATGGACACCGGTTGGGATGAATGTAGTTTCCAAGTTTTAAAACCATCACATTTGCTAAGGGTTCCCTTTAGAATTGCTTAATGTTTACCTAAAGATGTAACATAGGAAGGCATCAAAGAGTTCTTTAAAAACAAGAGTTTAAAAGTCTCTTTGATGACTCACAAATCCAGCATGTAACAAGAGAGGAGAGGCTCATTTAGCTAAGCAGCCATTCCGTGCAAAAACAAATGCAGTGCTCCCTTTTCAGTAGGACAAAGAAGGGGTCCACCAGGTGGCTTGCCTTGGTGGCCCTCATGCCACGCGCAGGGCCGTTGCTAATGGAAGGGCCCCCTGGGCCAGTTTGGAGGCTTGCAGGCGACCCAGCCTGGATCTCTAAGCTGGAAGCCCTTCTTGGCTGCCCGGTGGAGAGACTGGCAGCACCCGAGCAGCCCTCCGGGCACAGGGTTTCTTCACACCCGCACCAGAGTGTGGACTGGGGTTTAACCGCAATCTTTTCATGGCCAGTAAATGCTTTTTCCAGTTGGTGAGAATTTCCAGAACTGATTGATTATTTGTTCTTTAGATTAATCCTGCCCTATGAAAGATACATTAAAGGGGAGGAAGATAAGCCGCTGCCTCCTGTAAAGCCTCGAAAACAAGATGTCACTCAGGAGGTGGAAAGCAAGATAAAGCTGACTGGAACAAAACGCATCAGAAATGAAAACGTAAAGAGCAGGAAAGAGCGAGAGGAGGCACAAAAGCCCCGGGATCCAGCAGAGGTCAGTTCTGCCTCTCCCGTTCTGGGTTTTCTCTTTTCCCAAACCACGCATCGTTGTATCTGTACTGCCGCACTTTGATCACATCCCGCCCAGTGATCCTCTTCGGAACAAGAGCTCCCTAAAATACTGAAACTCTGTCTTGCTGCCAGACCCACGTTCTTCTCCGATGGGGCCAGGAAGCGGCTCTCCGAAAAGACTCGCCGGAGCCTCAAGGCCTACAGAAGCCCCCTTGGAAAGGCCTAATGTGGAGGACCTGTCCTCAATTCCTTGGGGGAAGGAAGGATCATCCGTAGCACTGGGCGATTTGGCAGGCACGCTCCTGACAATATGTAGGGAATAATCGGCCTTAGATTCATGTAGAGCGGAAGAGTTACTTTTTTGATGCTGGTTTTCCAGAGGAATAGAGTTCTGATTAATCAATGTATTAATAATTGGCATTTCAGTGAATGAGATGCCTAATGTATTTGGATCCTGTTTTTTAATCACTCCATAAACTCCAGGTTTTCCTGACTGCTTGCTCCCCAGATGATGTTAGACTACAACATCTGTCAGAGCGAAATCTGGAGTTATAGGCATTGTAGTCCAGCAACATCTTGAAGGAAAGCTGAAAAACATTTAATTAAAACAGCAGTTCTGCTCCTGTGCAAAAAACTAAGATGAGGCATTCAGTCCAACAGGCATATAGCATGACTTCCTGGTCTTTCTGCATTGCCCAGCAACAGCAATAATTCATTAAACTTGTATGCTGCCTGACTCTCAATGACTCTGGGCAGCGCACAACAATCAAACAAAGAAATTACAATAAAATCAATAAAAGAGCTGAAGGGGTGCCAGCCCTTCCCGCCGGGATGCCAGTCGAACTGGGTCCTCAGGCGCCTTCTTGCCTTCACATTGCAGGGGATTGGTGATGGTTCTGCCCAAAGCTTTAACTTTCCACCTCCCAAGGAAGGCCCCCACGAAAGGGGTGTCCAAGAGCAAAGCACCTCTATTCTCAGCCTGAAAGCAGGAGGAATGGCTCTTTGGTTGCCCCGCAAACAGTGGTTTGAATTGGTTACTCATAAGTTAGAGTGAAGTTCAGCATCAGCTGGACTCTGTTCCGCCATTAGGGCTGTAACTGAGTACCAGATTAAATATTATTCCGTCTGTTTTACAAGTTCCCTGCCCTAAGCCACGGCAGTAGGAATGCCAGGCCAAGAGTTCCCTGACAAGGAAAGCGGGAGGAAGAGCGGGGCCGGGCGCTCTTCTCGGCCCGTGCCGATCGCCTGCCTGGCGTTTTCCTGCCACCGCGCAGGCTCTCCAGGCCACTGACAGAACTTCTACCAAAGAAAGAGCTAATGGCAGCCTTTCGGCAGCAAGGGGGATCTTTTGGCCGGTCTTTCTTTGCAGGGAAAAAAATAGGGAAGAGGTTGAAATGAGTAACGGACACTTTAACTAATAGGAAATAGGAAAGCCGAGCGCGCAGGGAAATTTAAAAGCAGCTGCAAAGGCATAAATCCGAGGGAAGACGGAGCTTCATTTCCTGCCTTCCATCCATCTCTTGAACGCAGCACTGAGCAAATATCTTTCCTGAGCCTGTCTCTTTAGGCCCGAGAAAGAGAGGAAAGTGACAACGACTCAGCTCAGACAACAGCGTGGTTGTCAGGGCCTCCTATGTAAAGGCTGGTGAGGAAGGGGAGCCATTTTTTAAGGATTTTCAGGCAGCTGATTCTCAGGTGAAGCCCACGAGTGGCCTCAGGTTCATTCTCTGTGTAAGTGGATTGGCAGAGAAAACCGAAGCAGGAGAGCGCATAAAGCGGTGCTGCTCCACCAGCTAAGGCCCAGGATGCTCTCCTCGGAAGAGGACAGGAGGGGCAACTCTTTCCCAGTCTCTGAATGAAAGCAGCCTGGGCTTTGCCTTGTTTTCCTCCAACTCTGCCCTTGGTGCCAGATACGCTAAGAGACATTGTTCATTTTAGCAAGGGCCGGTGTGGGTAGCGCCGAAACCTTAAATCTGAAGTAGAGATGAAAGAACCCCAGTTGGCGGGTTGGCTGCACGGTGGACCCAGCAGCCACCGTTGCCTTAATTAATGGGTGGGCCTTCTGCAAATGTTGCTGGGTCCGCCCGCAGCACGGGAACCTCTGAGACGCAGACTGGCGGCAGGGTTTTGCATGCAGCTTATTGTGGAGTGGAAGAGAGGGGCTGTGCCCTACCCTTTCCCCCAGGTGGAAAACTCTTGGGGCAGCCACTAGAAAAACATGCAGGTTTCAACGTGAAGGGCGAGGGCTCTGCAGAAAGCGTGCTTGCCTTTAGTTCTATGGCGCTTTCTCACGGTTTCTATCAAAATCTTTTATTAGGTTTCATCGGCCAAAGAGAAGAGTCAGGAATGTCCGTCGCAGAAGAGCTTATCGGACCTGACTATAGCAGAAGCGATGGAGCTGTCGGTCGAAGGGGCTCAGCTTTCCCCTCCCGCTGCCCCTGGGATGGCCTTCTTGGACAATGAGGAGCCGCTGTCCGAGGCACCTCTGTCCAGTGCGCTGGTGCCCCCTGAAGCGAACACCCTCCTGAGCGCCATGATCAGAAGCCCCTTGGAAGACCTAGAGGAGCCCAAGCAGGAACAAAGCGGAGGGTCTTGCTTTGCAGACAGCCTAGAGGATGAAGCCCAAGCAATTCCCTTTAATAGCTTCCCTGCCCTCCAGCTACCCCTCCCAAGTCAGAATGAGATGGAAGATGATAAACTTCCAGAAATGGCGGACTACATTGCCAACTGCACGGTGAAAGTGGACCAGTTGGGCAGTGAGGACATCCACAGTGCCCTGAAGCAGAGCCCCAAAGTCCTGGTGGTGCAGAACTTTGACATGTTCAAAGAGAGGGAGCTCTCGAGCCCTTTCAACGGGGATCCTGGGTTTGGCTCCACCCCGTTGCTCTACTCCAAAGGCAACCCGGGTATCATGTCACCCCTGGCAAAGAAGAAGCTCCTCTCACAGGTGAGCGGGGCAGCCCTCTCCTGCAGTTACCCTTACGGCTCCCCGCCACCACTGATCAGCAAGAAGAAGTTCAACAGCAAGGATGACCTCTTGTCCAGCAGGCCAGGACTGCTGTCTCCCGGGCATTCAGTGGACAGCGCAGCACTCAGCAGGCCATCAGTCATCCAACACGTGCAGAGTTTTAAACCCAAGACGGTGGAGGACAGGAAGCCCGCTCATGAGGCCCGTCGACATGAATCCCTGCTCAAGACAGCGGGTTCTGAATGCTGTGATTTCTCCAAGCAGCACTTGAGCGCCCTGGCAGAATCCTACGCACTGAAGTCCGAAATCCAGGAGATGAAAGAGCGAATGAATGAGAAAAGGGCCCTACGCCACTCCCACGCGCCTGGCTTCTTGGCAGACTTCTACTCCTCCCCTCCCCTCCACGGCCTTTACAGGCGTGCCGAGCACCACCTCGGGAACCAGCCATGCTCCAAGTACCTTCCTCGGGACATGTACGTGGAAAATGCCTCTGGGTTCCCTCAGCACAAGCCCCAGGACAAGCGACTCCTAAGCTATCACCCCCCTTTGCATCAGCCGGAGAACAAGGGCCCCCGGGAAGCCTCCTCAGATGATCAGCCCACAGATCTGAGTCTTCCGAAAGGTGTCCACAAACAGACAGCAAAAGTCCTGGGATCTGCCCTCTTGCGCAGCTCATCCGGGGGGCAGGAGGAGACCAAAAGCACTTCCCGCTTCCACCCCTTGGCCGGCCAGACTCTGAGCGTCGATTGCAATCCTAAGGCTTGTCGTGTCTCCCCAATGGCGGTCTCTGTCCCAAAGAAACAGGGTGAGTCCCTCCTGAGGGCCGGCAAGCCACCAACCCCGAGGAAGGTAGACGGGATGGTACACCCGGTCCCAAGTCACAAATCCGTGGCTTCGGGCCTCGGGGCAGCTCGCCCTCTGAAGCGTGGCCTGGAGGATCTGGACAAAGTTATTTCGGAGAAGAAGATCCGAGCGGTCTCGCCCTTGTGCTCACCAAAGGAAGCTCCTCCGAAAGAGCAGGAGGCGGAGGGCAGCAAGCCAGCGCATGGCCCACCCCCAGGCGGGGCACTGGAGGGCCACAAGTTCCCCCTCTCAGGCCCCATCTTCACAGGCTTGTACCCAGGGACCTGTGCGGCGGCCTGGGTGGCAGCCGCATGCCCACAGCCGGGTACTCCCACCCGCTGCAGTACTTGAAAAACCAGTCCGCCCTCTCACCCTTGGTGCAGCCCTTCGCACTCCACTCGTTCATGGTGCACAGACAGTTCCTCACCTCCCCCGGGAGCTCTCAGCAGCTGTACCGGCACCTGGCGGCAGCCGCCCCTGTCGGGAACTCTTACGGAGACCTTTTGCACAACAACGTTTATCCTTTGGCGGCTCTCAACCCACAGCCCGCTTTCCCACCCTCCCAGCTCTCTTCTGTACACCCGAGCACAAAATTGTAAATGCTCCTAGAAAACAGCATCCCGCAAACGACATTCCTGTAGCCCGCGATCATGTCTTGCGAAACAAGTATATCAATATTTGTGATAGCCAATACGCCGTTTCGTTTCTCCTTGCCAAGCACTTCGGGTCTGACTGAGACGCGACTCCGGCTTAGCCGGGCCTGAGGTCGGACCCTTGGCTTCCTCCAAGCCAACTCGCCAGTGCTCCTGCTGCCTGCGCAGAGGGCTGCGGAGGGTTGGGGGGTTCCTGGCAG